GTGCCATTCCATTGAAAAGACTCTGCAATTTAAAACAGTATCCCTTACATAATTTTTTAAAATAATTTTTTTATTTTTTATTTTCAAAACAAACACAACACATAAAATCTTCCTTCTTTACATACTGTAGAAAGTGTATCAGTTGGTTACAAATGGTTTTTGTGCATCTCCCACAGTCATCAAACATAATTCATATTAACTCAAGTATTTTAATGCCGTGGCCCTTCCGGATGCCCCCTCCCCTCCCTCTCTGTTTGGCTCGGCCTCCTCGTCAGCGCTGCCTCCTCTTTCCTCCGTTCTTTGCGTGATTGGACTTTTCTTCTTGGCAAATCTTTTCCTCTGCCTACCATCGCTGCTCTGGAGCCCGCTCCTGCTCCGCCTGCCTGACATCTGGCTCTCCTCTATCTTGGCCTCTGAACATCTAGCCTCCTCCAACCGCAACCTCAGGGCCCCTGGACTTGCCGCTTCAGCCCCATTTGCTTTGATCATTGCCACCCGCCACTGCCCCTGGAATACCATCTTGGATAGCGCCCGTTTAATTCATCTTATTACGGTGCCTTGGACTTTGGACAAGTAGGGGTACTCACAGCGAGTAGGGAGGCCCTCTGGCATGTTGATGACACCCACTGTTTGCCCCCGTGGTGTATTTGTGGTGCATCTGTTCTGCGGAAGGAGTGACGGAGGATGGCGGAAATACGGGTGGGGACTTAATGTTTCTTTCAACTGATGCACCCCCCCTTTTTCTTCGATCCGCCTCAGCCACCCCTCAGCCACCCTGGACTTTGGACCTTTCCAGGCCTACAGGAGAGGGAGCAGACGAGACATTCTCCTGTATGCCACCTGTGGACCACTGTGGATTTTCAACCATTTCGAACTCTAAGAGTCATCTGCACAACTATTAAGACTTGTGCGAACTGTTCTTGTATGTGGAATGCTTGCTGTATGTATGTTAGTGAATGATCCCACTTTTTTAAAATTAATTTTTAACTTTACGCCCTGTTTTATTGTACCTATGTTTTTAGTGTTATAGTGGGGTATGCATGTTGGGAATGACTGTTTGGTATATATGAGGGGACCGAGAGTGCGGCCTGGAGCCCCCTCCACTGAGTGCAGAAGCAGAAGTGGATGGGGGCCCGGACCCACCTCTTCTCCCAGAGTGCATGGGGTGAATGGCCTGCTGAGGAGAGCGGGGACTGTGGGAGGAGAGGAGGGGTCTATGGGAATTGGGATGGGCCAGAGCATCCCGGTTACGTTTGGGAGAGGCAGGTACGACGGGAGTTTTAGTACTGGCCATTACCAGGGAAGGAGGGCTCGCTATGTCACAGCGATCCTTCATTCCGGCCCTGATAGCTCAACTCAAGGACCAGGTGGCAAGAGATGTCAGGGCCCTGGTCTCAGGTTGCTGCTGCTAAATGCCAAGTCTGTGATTCATAAAGCCCCCCTTGTCCGGGACATAATATTAGACGAGGGGGCAAATCTGGCATGTATTACTGAAACCTGGCTAGGCCATGAGGGAGGAGTCCCCCTCTCAGAAATGTGCCCAGAAGGGTTTCAGGTGCTCCACCAACCACGACACCAGAGAAAGGGGTGAGGGAGTGGCAGCTATCATCCAGGAATCATTAGTACCTCGTGGGATCCCTGCCCTGGAGACTGTCGGGTGTGAGTCCCTTCTGGTGAAGCTGGACCTAGGGGGTCAAGTGGGCTTGTTCCTAACGTACCTACCTCCCAGCTGCGTTACAACAGCCCTGCCTGCGCTCCTAAAGTCAGTAGCCGGACTGGCGGTTGAATTCCTCAGACTGATAGTACTGGGGGACTTTAACCTGCCATCTCTCGGTGAACTCTCTGATGGGGTGCAGGAGTTCATGGCTTCCATGACANAATTTCCTCTGATTTCTCATAAAAATATGATAATAAATCTAATCCTTCTTAACTTTTTTGAAATCAGAAAATCTGCTTATAAACTGGATGTAATCTATGCTAGCCTTGGTGCTATTGTATTTATTTTGATTGTTTCAAGTCCTTTAAAGGGGGAAGGAATAGATATGCCTATTCCTTTTCATTTCCAGAACATAAACCAGCAACATTGTAGGTTTTCCTGTGGTTTTCACATTGGAACCATTCTTGAACATGCTGCATTTTTCTGATTTTCTGCTCTTTTTTCCATTTCTCCCAATCTTTAATGATCTTTCTACCCTGCTCACCAGGGTTTTTAATTATCTCCTCTGCCTTTGCTTCTTTGCAAGCCCCTGATCATTCTTCCTGGCTTCCATACCTGCAACTGGTGAGGTAGGAACCAGTGGTTCCCAAGCTAGAGAGAGGTGTTTTTTTTAAATGTCAGCATAGATTACATTCCTTGCAAATTTATCAAGAGACTAACTAAATATCCACTGATTCAAAATGTGGGAGGAAAAAGGCACACATTGAAACTCTGGAGCGCACATGTTTGTAGGAATTTGTTTGTTGTGTATTGTAATGCAGAATTCTTTCTATATGTGGCTTCATTCTTAAATTATAAAATTATATAATTCCAAAAAAGCCAATACAATTCTAGGCTGCACTAACAGAGGGATAGAATCAAGTGGTTTTCCCTTATACTGACAATCTGAAAATTTCTCATTAATTTTAAATTGATTATATCAATTAGTGATTTAGAAAGTGAGCTTTTTTTTACAGACTTCATGTCTATGACAGGCTGTATTGCAGCTGGGAGCATAATTGAAATATCTCAGCTTCCAGCTGCTCGATGTTGACCACACAAATCATGATTCCTCCAGTTGCCAGAGTAAGCTGAGAGAACCTATACTGATCAGAATTTGCTGTCTGGCCACAGATCTCTGCTGCAGTGCTATCCTCGCTCTTTCAGGGACCTTGAGTTCATGATTGAACCTCACTTGGAAACCCAGCAAGGGCATTAATCTTATTAAAGTTTGTCAATAAATCTTGTACTGGGTAAGCCAATTACTGAATTAGGGATTAAAAGTCATGAGTGTTTCTGTGTGAAACCCAGCACTTTTAATTCACTTGCTGCAATTTCTATATGTTTGTGTCTTAAAATGCATATTTGCTGCTTTAATTTGAAAAAAAATGAAGGTTTAGAATAAACCTAAAGCTAAAAAACAAATAAACAAATAGTTGCAGATGTATATTTATCACTGTGCCATTCCATTGAAAAGACTCTGCAATTTAAAACAGTATCCCTTACATAATTTTTTAAAATAATTTTTTTATTTTTTATTTTCAAAACAAACACAACACATAAAATCTTCCTTCTTTACAT